TAATATTAAAGTGTTTCTTTATTCAATTTTTTATAGGTCTTTTAATAAAATTTTATTTAAAAGAATTAAAATATTTTAATTATTTTTAAAGTAAAAGTAAAATATTTTAATCTTTTTTATAATATCTTATTAAAAATATGTAATTTTGAAGTGTTTCCTTATTTAATTTTTATAGGTCATCTAATAAACATTAATATCTTATATTTGTATTTTAACTTTAATTCGGTTTTTCAGGGTTATTATTGGATTGTTCGGTTCCTGGTCTAAGAACCAAACACCGAACCGTTTAAAATCGGGCCAAGCACACCACTGAAAATTTGGGCTCGAAGCCCGCTAGGTACGCATCAAATACAATTTCTAGAGCGGGTTGGCGGTGGCCCAATCGATCGGCGGGTTTTGTGCTCACCCCTAAGTGCGACTGTCGATTCTCGAGGATATCTTGCTCTTGAGATTATAATTATATTGTTTAAAATGTTAACAAAATAAATTTTTATAATATGCTAAAATTAAATTACAAGATTTTTTAAAAGAATTTATCAAATAACCTTTTTTTTTTAATACTTCTATAAAAAACCATGCCAATTACCAAACCCACTTCAGCTTTTCACAAACAGAACTTTTACATTGTATTCTCTCCAACTAAACTTCCATATCAGATTTCAATTATCATAGCAAACAAGCTCAAACTTGTGATTAACAAGTAGGGATGAAGATTAGCTACGGTTACACTTGTTACTTACAAGTATTTTATTTGTTTACTTAAGTATTATACCTGAATTGTGAAAAATTTTGGTAAATAATAAATATAAAAATAGTATACTCATAAATATCAAATCAAATAATAAATGCAGCAGTTCAAAATTGCTTATTTTACTTGTGTCATCAATTTGTTTTTTTTTTTTTTAACAATTTATCATGGGACGGGTTCAAACACGCTAAAGAGAAGAGAGGGAATGCACCTTAACGTAACAGGATGTCATTTGACCTGAATGATCAGGTGCTGTTTCATGAATTTGTTTAACTAATATGTTTTTTGTATTTATATAATTGAAATTTTATATGTATTTATTATACTTAATATCTATATAATAACAATAATTTTTAAAAATCAAATTAATAAAATACAAAAATAAAAGTAAAAGTAAAGTAAAGTTTAAAAACCAAATATATCACATACGTAGCAATAACAACTTATATAGGACTTTTTTTTTAAAACTAATTACACAAATATATACTCACAAATTACTTGCTGTATGTGGGATTAGATACCAAGTATAGGATTTTCAAGTATTTTAGTATCAAATGTAAAAAACTATACTTAAAATTTTCAAGTTAGATATCAAATATGACCCACATACCTACACGCATAAAAACACATCTCAGCTAACATCATCGCGTATATACTCGGCCAGTGGACATAAGTGGAAACAGAAATTCCCAAAACATATAAGAAATCTAAAGCCAACGAACAAATCATAAATCTATAGTACGCATAATGAGTTCTACGGGTAAACCTGGTGTAAGGTGGTAAACGATCATCTTTAGGTGCGCCCCTTCTGAGACCATCCGCGCCCCATATCCCGCAAAGAATTACCATGATGTACCAACTGATACGCTGAAGTAGTTGTGGTCGAATATCATCGCGAGCACATGACAAGGCGAGAAAAAGGAACGATTGTGGGATACGCCTAATCAAGCAGGAGCTTCCAACGGTACATGTAGACGGTAATGGCAGATCTTCTTCAAAATCCAACCAGTGCTTCTCCAACCAGCTCTTCAAACAGAATATAAGATAACAAATGCAAGCGACTATCCAAGTGGGAAAGTTCAATCCGAAACGATTGTAAGTGATGGATCCAACAACTCCTATGATGAAACCAAAGAACCCGAAGTCTGTAGGTAACCGTAATACCACCGAAAGACTTAGATTAAAAATTGTCAGGCAGAATGCAACACCGAGGCTCTTTAAGGAATTACCATAATATGTTTGAAAGGGAAGTGCTAGAATAAACCAGGTGAAGTTTGATGTTGAATTTGCTGTGCAGCCCCACCTTCGATAAAGTATTTTGAGTTTTTTACCATAAGACTCTGAAAATGCTACCAAGAATAAGCAAGTAAGGGCGAAACACGCGGTGATTTTCCCACTTTTATCATATTTAAGACGTAACTCTGAATCTTGCGAAAGAATTTTTGCAGATGATAGGGCAAATTTACAGATCAGCTTGACCGTTGGTTGACCCATTACCGCATCATTGGTGAGACACATCTTGAGAGCTTCTGACAGACTGTTCATCTTCTCAACAATAGGATCCAGTAGAGGCCTGATTGTTGACTGCCCAAACAACATGAGAGCTTCCTGTATTTTGCTCATCACCACAACAATCCAACTCTGAAGGCATTTGATTTGATGATTCACCTTCTCTACAACCCAATTGAACAGGAGTATTGTCCGGACAATATAAGGCACTGTGACTGCCGGATAAAACAACAGAACCATCTGCATCAAAATCCTTCCATTGGAATCCAGCAAATCTTGCAAGCGTGACAAAGAAATCGCCATATGGTGAATCAAAGTCGTTTCTTCTCTTACAAATTAATTCTTGATCATCGTCCACATATAAAGAAAAAAAAAAAAGAAAAGAAAAGGAAACATTAATTAATACCCCATAATTGGGCGGTAGTTTCCCCTTGGTTGGTTCCATCCACTTCATTTTTCAACATCAGACGCGTTAATTTAAGTATATTTTAATTTTTTTAGACCTTTCCTACTTCCGCGTCTTCAACATTTCCATGAAAGAATCACAATGGCACTTTTTTTCTTTTGGTCTACACGATCGCCAAACGTTAGCCTTCCCTTTCTCTGTAATGAAATAAAGAGGGTATGGATATATAATAATGGTTTTTTTATTTTGCGTCCTTATTTAGTAGTTAGCAGTACATTTCTTACTTTTGTTCTCATGGGTCGTAGCTCACTGGCCCTGAGTTTTGGATCGGACCCTCCGTTCTCGGTTATTGACTTATTTCCTCCTGGAGTCCTGGTGCATCCTTCCCGCTGGTTCTTCTAGCTAGAAGTTCAAACCCGTATCTTTCTTGTTTCACTGTTTTTGTATTTTATGTGTTTTCTCTGGGGC